ATCAAAAAGCAGGGTTCCTGTTTCTCAGGGTGGTAGACAGCAGCTTACAGACTGGGAAGTGAGACTTAGTGAGGGAACAGGGAAGGGTAGAGTAAAGAATTCATTTCTTTCCTTCTCTCCATTTCGATTGTTCTACCAATCATCTCTTCTTCCCCCACTCCTCCTGAAGACTAATGTGATAATTGCCATGTGCTCCTGTTTACTCAGGGAGGGGGTGGGTCTGCCACCCCCAACTGGGCAGGTTCCCAAAGGAAAACATTCTCCCTGCCTGGGTGCTGGTACCCACTGAGCATTTTCCCTGCGCAGGTGTACTGCCACCCCCAGACCTTTCTGCACCGTCTGTCATCATCCCCATATAGTGTGTGCACGTGTGTGTAAGTGTCACTCTCAGGGGATTAGAGCCTGCAAGTGAGAACCAGAGGAAGAGGGAAGCCTGAAGCTGATAGCCATGAGCCAGTATTCTGGCCTACGGAGAACTGTGTTAGCTAAACAGGGAGGCATTGACCCTAGGAAGGACACTTCTTTAGTCTGAGTATTCTTTTGCTAGGGTCCTCTTTGACAGCTGTCCCTTCTCTGATTAGGGTTTTACTAAGGTTCCTGGTAACTTTTTTGACTAATCCTGGTAACCTAGTGAGGGAAGAAGAGGAGAGGTAGGTAAATGGGTACCGTGAACTCAGCAGAGGATTCTGGGTAACACTGATATTTTTCACCAGAGTGGGCCTTGTTTAGAGTAGTTTACAATGACTTCCCAGCGTCTCTGAAGCAAGAACAAGTGAAAACCTATAATAATAATACATGAAAGCAACTTGTGAGAATAGAGCCTGTCACTTGTTGGGGGGTGGTAGGAGGGGGTTAGTGAAGAGAAAATGAAAGAAACACACACAGACACACACACACTTACCCTTCTCTCTTCCACCCCCCTGCTATGAGACAGACACATGCACACCATGAGAGAGACAATAGTCACAACTCAGGGGTTTAACTTGCACCATTCACTTCACGTTTCTCCCCTCCTGCTTGGTGCTAAGGCACTTGCTGCCTCCAGAGCTGTTGATGACTTTTAAAAAATGTTATTTTTTCCCTCTCTCAAAAGACACTTCAACAGTCGTCTCTCCTACACTGGACAATTTTAAGATTTTTAATAATGATGAATCAGATGCAGATTGAAGGCTTAATTAGCCCTGGAGAGAAAGTAAAAAAGAAATAAAAAAAAGCTTTTCATCCTGAGGGAAGAAAGACTGGTGTCCATTGCCTGCCCACTGCTGCCTGAGCCTGTCCCTCTGCCCATCTGGCCTTTGTTGTTGATTCATCAGCCACTGAATAAGGTGGGGTGGGACCCCCAGTAAGGGGAGGTGCAGGGAGAAAGTATAGGGGGAGAAAGGCTGGGGAAGGAGGCTGAGAGGGGGCAGCAATTCTATTAAAAGGTTTGTGAATAATCTAGGGAGGATGTCCAACAGCTTTCTCCAGAAAAACCTTTTAAGCTGTCAATCATCTTTAATCATTCCCCAGGGCAGTGGCTGTAGCTACTACTCATTTGCTGCTGTTCATCATTGTCATTGTTGTCATTCGGTAATGCCAATCAGTCATTGTGGTGGTCCCAGCATTGTGAGAGGTGCCACTCAGAGCACCTCACCTGAACAAAGAAATAGAAGACAGAGTCCTTGCCCTGGCCATGTTCCAGCCTTAGAGAAAAGTGGGTCTGGGCTATGGCTCTAGAGGAAGTAAAACAAATTTGCTCCAAGAAGCACTAATCAATCAATCATTGGAACTAACCAGATTTCTTCTTACCCTTCCTGCATGTGGTTGTATATATGAACAGGGCTGTTCCTAGATCATTTAATTCATCAGGGCTGTCACCTCAATTCTTCCAGAAAAAAACAACTTCTTGCCTCAATTTAAAGTCCTTCCAAAAAAGAGAACCCATAATGTCCCTATGTAGCTTATTAATAGTAATAATTGGTATTTACATAGCAATTTAAGATTTGCAAGCATTTTAGTTAATTATTTTATCTGATTGTCATTGCTACCCTAAAAGTACAGATGAGGAAACTGAGACTCATAAAAGTTATCTGTGGTCACATCGTTATTAAGGTTTAGAGATGGGATTTGAAGTTGGGTCTTCCTCAGATTGTGAGGTCTTTGAGGTCAAGGATTGTCATTTACCTCTTTTTGTATCCCTAGTACTTAGCACAGTGCCTGGCATATAACAAATATTTATTGACTGACCTACTCTGAATCTAACATGTTAGCCATGAAATCACATTGCATACTTGCTACTCTGGCAGCTGGGATAATTCTTTTGGATGCCTGATCTAAGCCCTCTCTACTCCTTTTTTTTTTTTTTTGGCTCTTTGGTGAGGCAGTTGGGCTTAAGTGACTTGTCCAGGGTTACACAGCTAGTAACCATCAAGTATCTAAGGCCAGATTTGAATCTACTCTGATGTAAACTGATTCTATCTCAGTTTTTCATCTTTCTTTTTTAAAGAGGACCAATGGCATCACTGACTTATCTTGACTTATGCATGAATTGGATTTAAGTGAGAAAATTACACAAAGTCGTCAGCCTCACTTTCTCTTCAATAGAGCTAAATATATGTTGCAGTTAGAAAGAATTGGGCTCTGTTCATCCTGCTTAGTAAAAAGGCATTTTTCCCCTGAAACTAACACAAAATCAAAAGCAAGTAATACATCACTGAATTGTGTTAGGGAGAGAATAAAGACAAAGGGTTGAGGTTAGGTGTGAAGGGAAAGCTTGTTCCCAAAATAATTATGGGAAATTTCTGCTACCTCGGAAGGTGATGAACTTGGATGATAGATATCATGTGTTATAACAGTAGCTCTTTTATACAGATGAGGAAACTGGGTTCGAGAAAAGTAACTTAGAGCACCCAATATGATACTGTGAACATTATAGGTATTTCAGACGAAGTTTGCTAGGTTAGATGGTCATACAATTATATGACACTAGAACCTAGATATACTGATTACCAGTTTGGAGCTCTTACCCCTGCCATACAATGTCTCTCATTGTAGAAAAAATGGAGGGGAGAATATGGAAGAAATGAGAGTCCGATGGAAAGGGAGTTCAAATCCTCATTCTGCTCTTAGTTATCTATGTAACTATCTTTCTGGGGTTCAGTTTCCTTACATCTAACATGAAAAGGGTAGACTACAAGATTTTTCAGATAATTTCCAGTTTTTAATCCTAAAGAGACCAATTAGAAAAGGAGATTTTTGTCAATACGCATTTATTAAGCATTTACTTTGTACCTGGCACTGTGCCAAGCACTGGGGTTATACAGATAGACAAAAAAAATATTCTCTGTTCTCAAGGAGATTATATTCTAATGGGAGGGGCTATGTGGAAACAACTATGTACATACATGATCTCTCTCCTTCTGTTTCCCTCTCTCTGTCTCTGTCTCTCTTTTTCTCTCTGTCTTTTGTAAATTGGAGGCAATCTCAGAGGGAAAGCCTAACATTGAGGGGGTCCTGGAAAGACTTTTTTTTTTTTTGCAGAAGGCCAGATATTAGCTCAGTCTTGAAGGAAGCCAGAAAAAGTCAGAGGCAAAAGGCAGAGATGAGAAGGAAGAGAATTTCAGGCATAGGGGACAGACAGTGAAAATGCCTGGAGTTAAGAGATGTAAAGTCAGGTTCAAGGAAGAGCAAGAAAGCCAAAGTCATTGGATTGTTGAGTATGGAAAAGAGTGAAGTATAAGGAGAGCGGAGTGTTAGAAATGGCTTTAAAAGTCAAGCAGAGGATTTTATAGCATTCAAAAGAAGAGATACAGTGAAGAAAAATGTGAATATAAATTTTAGCTGTGGAAATGAGAGGGAAAAAAAGGGCTAATCATTGATATCAGAAACAGTGTGCTGATAGAGTGCTGGGCTGGCAGTCAAGGGATCTGAGTTCTTATCCCAACTCTGTGACTGCCCCTCTGTTTGAACAGATAATAATATGGTGCAATGTCTACTCCCAAATGAACTACTCTGGGGAGGAGATGGAAGATTATGAGGAAAAAGATATTTTCATCTAGATACCTGTACTACAATCAAGATTTGCATGTATTTTCTAGTTTACTTTGTATTAGCACCAGGCAAGGGGATTTACTCCATAGTGTCTGGCCCTTACAGGCAACATGATTAGTAGAGAGAATGCTGGGTTCAGAATCAGAAAGATCTGGGTTCAAATCCTAACTCTATCACTAGTTATATGACCTTTAGACAAGCTGTTTAATCTTTTCGTGGCTCAGATAAAAATAACAACAATGACAACAAGTAGCTTTTCTATGGCACTATAGGGTTTTGCAAAATTACACACACACACACACACACACACACACACACACACACATCTCAGGAAGTCACAGAGAAGTTCAGAGGCACATTGGTGCAGAGAGTTTTCCACACGGACAAAATTACAAAGCCTTCTCCAATTTGTTTGTCCTTTGGGTGACTGATGCTTGAGATCAGAGCCTTCATTCCTGCTAGTTGGGAGTATACCATGGTGACCTTGTGTGTGCTGAGGTAGAGAAGAAGGGCTAGCTTATACATTATCATTACAACTAATCAAGATGTGATCACTCACCCCTTGACTCTCCTGTGAGAATGTGACGTGACCTCACAAATCGAAATCCAGAGTCAAGAGAGGCACTTGCTAATAAGATGTAACTATACTCATTAAGCTTCCATATCTGTGATTTTAGTGGGAATAATGATGGCTTACCTTTATGTAGCACTTAACAGTTTACAAAGTGCTTTCCAAATAACAGCTGTGACACAAAGTAGTGCAAAGTGTATTCTTCCCATTTGTCAGACGAGGAAACAGTCTCAGTGAGGTTCTGTGTATTTTCTAAGATTTTATAATTGGAGTTAAGCTAGGATTCATGTCCAGGTCCTTTGATTATAGATTCAATGCTTTTTTTTTTTTTTAAACCTCAACCCACTTCCCCTCTTGGGTACCACTGGAATGATGATGTGACTATTTTTCTATCTTCCAGACCAATGATGCCTTAGGAGCCACCTGGAATTGGCTGTACTTCATCCCCCTCATCATCATTGGATCCTTCTTTGTTCTCAACCTTGTCCTGGGAGTGCTTTCTGGGTAAGCAAAGTTATTCCGGTCACTTTCTGATTTGTTACCTGGTTAAAAACTTGCTGCTTCTCCCCATCGTCTTGGTTCTGGGAATGCAGACATCTCAGAGCTTCCTCATGACAAGTTGCTCTTATAGGCTTCCCTTCCCAGGGACTTCAATGTGGTGATGCTGACCCAGGAGCTAAACAAAGGTCTCCCATGACTAGAACTGTTGTGCTATTCCTTGAAGCCCCAGCTGAGATTTAGAAATGAATGCTTAAGTCTTTGATTGGGGCAACTTCAATTGTTGTTGTTCAGTTGTTTCAGTTGTGTCTGACTCTTTGTGACTCCATTTGGGGTTTTCTTGGAGCAAAGATACTAGAGTGGTTTGCCATTTCCTTCTCTAGCTCATTTTACAGATGAGGAAACTGAGGCAAACAGGGTTGAGTGAGCTGCCTAGGGTCACACACCTAGTAAATGTCAGAGGCCTGATGTGAACTCAGGAAGATCAGTCTTCCTAAATTCAGGCCCAGCACTTTGTCCACTTTGTCACTTTGCTGCCCCAACTTAAATTAGTCATCCTTTTGCTAAATGCCCCATTGAATGTCCTATATTGAATTCCTAATTGAATGCCCTATGTCTCAAGCTGTGCTGCCCTGGGGAATACAACAGAAAATTCAGACATGGTTTTGGTCCTTGAAAAGCTTATAAACTTTCGGAAGATGAGACACATGTTGAAAAATCAGAGAGCAACACAATATATAATTATGGGTAAAAACTGTGTGGTACATATAATAAGCATGATGAAAGCTTAGTGATAGAAGAAATCATTGAGAGGTTTTTTCATGGAGGGAAACTTCATGAGGGCAAGATTGATTTGGGATGGGGGGCAGGATCCTAGATCCTAGATAATGTCTTATATCTAAATCAGGACAGGATGTCAGAGGCTATCTTGTCAAACTCACTCATTTTACTGGTGAGGAAACTGAGTTCTAGGGAGGTTAAGTGAACTACCCAGGGTCATACAGGTAGTGAGCACTGGAGGCAGGATTTGGACACCTCTCCTTTGACTTGAGAATTCTTTCTACTTTACGATGCTACTTTCTGTAGAAAGGTTATGGGCGTTTCATATAGGAAGAACAGCATAAACGAAAGTGCAAAGGCAAGAATTAAAAATATAGTAAGTTTATTGTATTGATGTGACTGACCCGACTTTAAAAATGTCAGAGAGGCTATTAATTTCTAGCCTTTCCTTATGATAATTTTATACTTGAAAAAGTATAAGAACTAACCAAATGGGAATCTCTCTTCTGGAATTATTTGTCCCAAACACGGAAGAACTGATTTGCTGGAGTGGAAATGATGGGAACCTGAGGGAAAGTCACTACACCACCTGAGAGTTTGTGATAGAGAAGGGGGAAGAAAGCCAGGCGTAGCTTGTCATACATGTTAAATTTTAGGACAGCAGACTTTAAAGGTTCATAGAAAGGATAAAAAAGGTAATATCGCCTAAAATTCTAAAGGGCAAGTCATCCCTAAAGGGATAGTAGACTCTGAAGAATGAAATTCTAAAGACACAAAAAACCACATCGAATGAGAGGGAGTTGTCATCTAAAGAAACTGATGTGAATTCACAGGGAGCTTATCCATCAAATCATGTTTGAGAAATATTTACACAAAAGATGGAATAGAGGCAAGTAATGGAGGATGAATACAAAAGTGTGGCATGGGCCTGTAATGACTTCCTTTGTTAGGCATCTACTAATCATGCCTTTAATAAAACATTCTAAAATAATGTCTAAGAAAACTATGGAGATTTAAGAGTGTATCTTCCCTTGATTAGGCAAGTCATCTGGCCCAGATAAGCTATATAGTCCAGGACACTGAAGGAACTGACATTTGTGATTGCTGAGCCTCCATGAATGATGGTGTTTTTTTTTTTAAAGATCATAGATAACAGGAAAGGTACCACTTGACCATGTGAAAATAGTTGTCCTGGTTTTCAAAAAAAAAAGGGGGGGGAAATTGAGTCTATAAACCATATAGGTCAGTGAGCTTGACTTGGTGCTTGATAGAATTCTGGAACATGTGATTCAAGGATTGGCAAGTGAACGTCTGCCAGGGGAAGCAGTGATCCCAAAGAGCCAGCATGGCTTCATTAAAAGCAGGAAAGGCCAGACTAATAGCATTTTTTTCTTGACAGGTTTAGCAGAGTAATAGAGAAAATTGCTGTAGACCTAGTTTGCTTAGATTTTAGCAGAGCATTAGACAAAGTTTCTCCTGCCATTCTTTCTTGTGAACAAAATGGGGAGATATGGACTATATGATAGTATAGTTAGTTGGATTCAAAATCTGTTGAACAGCCAGACCCAATGTGTAGTTATATCCATTTGGAAGGAGATCTCTCATGGACTATCCGAAGGAAACTCTCCTTGACTCTGTGCTCTTCAACATCATTATCCGTGGGCTGGGGTAAAAGGCATAGGACTAAACTAGAAGGTATTGAAGTTTGGTTTATCGTTAGTCCAAAGACAACAAAAAAAATTTGCTAGGATACTTTGTCATTTCATATTGCAGTATCCATGACAAGTAACAGTATTTGCCGAAATATCACTATGAAAATACTTTTCCCTTGTGAGTCAATGAATATTACAGAGGATGAGGAGACAGAAAAATCCTATGACGAACCTGGTGCAGGGTACTCCAAACTAAATCAACATATATATTAGTCCTCAGTGATTTCTACACAAAGGTGGGCTTAGGAGAGGACAGTGAAAAAATACACTGGAAAACATGGTTCAGGAGGAAAAAAATGAGAGAGGCATGGAGACTACCCTTGACTTCTTTAATAAGTTGTTTTCTTTTTGTCAAGTAAGGAAGTGCTAGACATGATATGGTAAGTACCAAGTAACACTGTAAATAATGGAACAGATCATATTGTAGCAGATAAAAAAGTATTGGTGAAGAAAAATCACTCGTTTATATAGCACTTTAAGGTTTGCAAAGCATTAAATACATTCATTATATATATATATATATATATATATATATATATGTATATACTTTCTCTATACACTCATTATATATACTCTCTCTGTCTCTTTCTGTCTCCCTTTCTGTCTCCCTTTCTGTCTCTCTGTCTCTGTCTCTATATATGTATATGTATGTATATTACACACACACACACACACGATCCTCACAACAACCCTGTGAGATACTGTATACACATACACACATGTATATGTTCCTATGTACGTACACACATATAGATCTATCTATTGATCTGATCTCCATATAGATAGATCTATCCATCCATCTCCAGCCCTCATCTCTCCTCTGAGTCCTAGACCTATAATTCTCCCATGCCTGGAATGCTCTCCCTCCTTGTCTCTGCCTCTTATTTTCTCTGGTATTCTTCAAGTCTTCAAGACTCAGTTCAAATCCCACTTTCAGACCTTCCTGGGTCTCCCTCCCTACCGCTGGCCACCTTTGCCTTCTCCTCCTTCTCTTCCTCCTCTTCCTTCCTCTTCCTCTCCCTCCTCCTCTTCCTCTTCTTCCTCCTCTTCCTCTTCCTTCTCTTCTTCTTCCTAGCTGGTCTTGCTGCCTAAGCCTTTCCCTTCCCTGATGCAGACTTCACCCAGCTGCCAAACTGATTTTCCTAAAGTGAAAATCTGACTGTGGAACTCCCTAGCTCAATAAGTGTCAGTGGCTCCATGTTAGCCCCAAGAGCCAATAAAAACTCTCTATGACATTTACAATCCTTCACCACCTGGCCCTGACCTATCTTTCTGTTCGTGTTGCATATTACTCTCCTCCATACACCCCACAGTCCAGCTGAAATGACCTTGCTTCTTTTTGCACTCTGTCTTCTGCCTTTGTGATGCTGACCTGACAATCTCCCAGGCCTAGAATGCACTCTCTCTGAGAATCCTTTGTTTCCTGCAAGACTTGACCCAAGTGACACCTTCTAGATGAGGCTTGTGTCTTTCCCCATCACCTTTTCTAATTATTCTGTATCTATTTGTTTGTGTGTCTCTAGGGTATAAGTTCCTAGGGAATGGAGATTGTTTTCGCTTTTGTTTAATGCCCAGCACACAGCTGGACACACATGAAAACCATGTATTCATTGATTGAATGATGTGTATCAGAGACAAATGGCCATAAACCATAAATAGGAGGCTAACAATTCACCTCCTTTCCCAATGACTGCCTCACTGCTACAAATCTGCATTGGTTCCCCCTATGACCTTGTCCCAATCCCTTAATGTATGCATTCCACAAGGGTTTTCCTGAGGCTTTCTTCTCTCTATCCATTGTCAATCTTACTCCTATGGTTTCAACTGCCCCATCTATGTACACGATTCTCAGATCTAGAACTCCTTCTAGAACTCCTCATCCTTCCTCTGAGTCCTACACCCACATTTCTACTTTCTATAGAACACCTCCACCTGGATGTTCCATAATGGGACCCCAAATTCAACATGCTCAGTTCATTGTCTTCCCCCTTCCCTGAGTACCTGTTCTACCGTCTTCTGATCTCACTACTTCTGTTTGTGGTATTACCAGTCATGTTGTCCTCCCATATGTAAAACCTTGGGTTTATCCTTGATAAATCTCTCCTGTACCTCTCAGATTCAATCAGTTATTGAGTTCCGTCAATCCCATCTCCAAACTTCTCTTACATCTATCTGTACTCTCCACTCTCACTGACACTACCCTAGTACAGGTCCTTATTACCACCCACCTGCATTACTGCAATAACCTCCACCCCCACCATCCTTCAATCTGTTTCATACTGTTGGCAGAATATTTTGTCTGACTCACCAATATGGTCATATCATCCCTCTATGCAAAATTCTTAGTGGCCTCCTCAGGCCTCAAGTCAAGTTCAAAACCTTTGCATGGCATTCAAGGCCTTCCCTATATTGATATCATCCTATTTTCCTAGGCTTATCTCATATTACTCCTTTCCATACAATTTATACTTTAGGCAACCTGGACTGTTCTCAGACCATGAGATATACCCTGTG